ATCCACTATTTACAATCCTTCAGAACGTTGTTTTACAGAAAAAAAATTTCTTAACTAGAAAAAAAAAATTATTTTTTCTCCAATGGATAAGTGTTTGACCTCGTAAAATTTTATCAATAACGTTTGCTTTTAGGCAGGAGGCCTAATTATTTTTCATTTTTTGTATCAGATTACGCCATGTCCGGTAAATGAAATGACAGTTACAGATTATCCCTACACACGGACTACACACAAACTACACACGGACGATTTTTACTCAGGAGTCGGATCCATCGAACCGGTAAAGGCAGCGAAGGAGTAAGTTTTTGATACATCCTAACTAGTAAATAAAAATCCTTTAAGCATTTTCCTTGGTATGATCTTTTTTATTTCATACATACTGAGAAGAAAGGTTTTTCAGCAGGCTTATGTCTCTGTCGGTCTTTGCTCTCTTGTTTTTGTCTTCTTGCTCATCTATGAAGTCATCTGTTGCTATTTCAAGGCGAGCAAATTTTGGCACTTCTTCCATTTTGTTTCTGACAGAAAGTCACTTGCTCGTTGTTCACCGCTGTAAAGTACTATCGTTTGTGTCTCTGACTGGACGAACGATGAATTTTCACAGTCGCTCGCTTTTCTTATTGCCTGGTTAGTTGTGTGTCTCGCAAAAATTTTAGGCGGGCTTTTTTCATGTGTAAATCTCAGTATTTTTGAAGTAAGTACATATTATGGTATGATCCTTACGGCCTCGTACACACAATAGTGAAAGCTGGTGTGAGTAGGACCGAACGGGTTGACATGAGCCGGTCCCGAAAAAACCGTTCAGCTTTGCACCCACACGACTTTGTTGTGTATATGTTTGGACAGAGCAGCACCAAAATGCTAACATCTTCGTGCAAACTACATAAATAAATAATTGTAATAAAGAGTCAATCGGCTATATAACAAGGAAAATAAATGACTACCTAAACAACCAACTTGTTAAATTAACTTGTTGTTTTTCAACGAAAAAATAACTTCATTAAAGGATGGTAACACACAACAGTAATTAAAGTGATGAGCTAATGGCCCTCGATCCTTAAAGTACCATAATTAGAATTAAAATATATGGGAGGATTATAAAACTGGTATACAAGTCTACTTCATTCGACAATACTTCATACTACAATACAAGATTCAAATTCTACTCATTACAGACAGTCTTGGGGACGGAATCAGGTTAATTTCATCGAAATACGTCTAAAATCCTCCAAATCCTCCTCCCCTCACCCCTCTCAGGCGATAAATAGTGCCCGGTTCCTCTTTTAGTCGCCAGGGTTGTAGTACTCAGAATCTGAGCCTATTCGTGTTTAACTCCAAACCAGTATTGTGTTGTAGAGGAAGATGAAGAAGAGCAGCGGTGATTCGTATTTATCGCCCCGGAATGGTACATTCCAAAATTATTTTCGCCGTCAACTGCTCCTGGTGATCCATCAAAATCGCAACCTTTGTCCTTGCTTTTAAAACTGTTTACGAACCAAGCTTTATCAGATTCCATTCTTGTGTCGGCGGTGCAATTAGAACAGTGAATTCCGCGGATGTTAATATACTCGAACAATTTGCAATCTTGATTCCAGTTTCCAAATATATCATGACCTGCCCGAAGAACGGCGCGTGCGTAGTCCGTGTACCGCAGGCCATCTGTTGGAAAGTTGCATGTTACTCTCAGATGTGTCGAGTATTGAAAAAGAGATTGCATTCTTGCCAATGAAAGCCGATAAGAGTTCCAATCCTTATTGTTGTTATTGTCATTCACGGGAAAATCGGTGCCAAACCCTTTGTCCTTAAATGTCGCCTTATTAGCAATGGAGAAAGACTGTATCAACGCCCATACAAAGCCAGGTTCTGATTGCAAGTCACAGTAAACAGAAAACGGTTCATCGGCTGAGTTGAATATATTGTAGTTTCCTGCTGCTGAGGCGCCGTTCTTAGCAATGTCTTTGCAGCTTCTTGGATAAGTAATCTGACTTATCTTACCACACCGCTGACCAGTGTATATCTCAGGACAAGTACAGTTAAACCTGGTGCTGTGAGTGTCACAAATTTCCTGACATACCCCTCCGTTGAGGCAGGGATTTAGGCTGCAGCATTTATTAACACAAAGATGTTTTCCTGATACGTAGTTTTCTCCGCCCTATTTGAATTTAAACGAACAGTTTTTCTACAAGTATTTTTTGGCGATTTTGACGCACAAAAACAAAGACACTAAAAGATTTAGAGGAAAGGCTTTTGAGGATCAATTGCAAAAAGATATTTGAATTCATATAATTTAGCGAAGAGGAAGTCAAGGAACAAAAAAGAAACGCAGTTCTAAAAGTCTAGATGGTCAGGAGCGGGAAACATACAGCTGAAAAAAATTGCTGAAAAAAAAAAAACACAAACAATACTCTAGTCTAGCAACTAAGAATTCCATCTCTCACCTTTAGCGTGTAGCTCCTCACCAGATCATAATAATTTCCTCCTTGCTTCCATTTTATTGCCGCGGGCTCCATGTCTCTGTTAACATCGTTAAGCTCGCAGTTATTTTCTTTAGACCATGGAAAATAATTCATGGATACACACAAGCAGTCATCTTTGCACTTCACGTGACACTGGGCGGCGCTGAGGACTGTTGATCTTTTAAACACGTGACTCTCAAGAACATGGTTGTAGATGACATCCTCATCTATAGCAAACTTGAAGTTTTGACAATTTACTGTTCTCTGCGTCATAAGGGAGGCGTGAAAGGGAATGAGTTGTGATAACAACAACAGAGCTTGTAGACAGCGAACAAAGCCCATGGTTCTCCTTAAAAACGTGCAGATAAGATTGATTGCTTAATTCCATAGTTAGACCAAGGCATAAAAATTTTATTAGTAGAAATCACAATCTAGCCGCACGATTGAGAAGCTCAAAATTTTAGCTGCGGTCCCTATTCGCTCCAAGTCATTTCTGTAGGGTTTGTAATTTGAATCTCTTATGATTGTATGGTTTTTGGTTCGAAATCTGATTGGTTTCGTGCACGATGCGTTTTAAGAATTGCAACGTTGCGACAGGTGGCTCATTAAAAAAAAGAAAAGTAAAAAAAAGTTCGCAAGTGACTTGATGCGATTGCTGTCCAAAACGGCATACCGTTCTAAACGGCATTCGACCAACTCTTCAGCGTAATAGAGAAAGGCATTGTTGAGTTCTAGGTAGAAACCGAAAAGAAATAATAACTACCGTTTAGGTCTTTGTTCTCAGACCACCCAAACTGTTATCGTTTTGCATAGAACAACTATAAAACGTACAAATGTTGAAACACACGTGAGAGCCGTTAATCTGTTCATGAAATATTTTCTTTCGCAACTTTTCACAGGGATTGCAGTCCTCATTCACGTAAGAACCCTCTCGTAAAGTTGCGAGCCGAATAGTGCTTCGAGAGAGCCATCTGGTTGTTTCTTGCTTTTATTGATTTTTAATGTGTTGAAATGTTACCGCATGTGTAATTTTTTGATTCGAAAGGAAAACATTTTCTCAGAGAAGTAATAAGTATTAAGACCTTGATCAGCACTTTACAATTTTCCTTTCCTTTGACGCGAAAGCGACTACGTAATGCTTATCGTGAGGGGGGTCAAAGTCCTCTGGGACTCGACTATCTCGAAGACAGCGATATGCCTGATGTAAAAGAGAAGGTACCATAGTGGATTGAGAATCTAAAGAATTTATGGCAGAGTAGATCAGCTCAGCTGTATTATTCGCCAATAAATGACACAATCTTCGAAAGACGGATTGAAATCACCGCAGAGTACATAGGTTGCTTCACTGCCTTTAACCCTAAGTTTTTAAACGGTTCTTATTAAAGTACTGGATCTTTATAACTACCACGAAGAAGAATATGTTGACGAAGAGAGAAGCCGAAAGAGAATGATAAAAAATTAGATCAGTTTCATGTGGTGGAATAAGGCGTGGATACTGATCGTAATGTTAAACCTCTGGCCGCAAATAAGACCTTGCCCAGCGCTCGGCAGTTTCATCTTCTTTCGGCGCGAAGGTGATTACGTAATGCTTGTCAGTTGAGAAAGCGCCAAATTTCTCTGGGATCGACAATCTCGATGAAAGGAAAAATGATATGAAAAAAAAAAAGAAGAGCTTAAAGTTAACTGAAAATATGAGATATAGCAGATCGATTCTGCTGTCGCTATGATAGCAGGAAACATCTGAAACTGATCAAATTAGTCAAAGCTTTGTTAAGTGAGTGGTAGCAAATTACATCATGTCTCTTCATGGTAGTTCAGCTTCAAACTTTTGGTTTTACTTATCAATATGAGTATCAGCTTTCTGTACTTACCTTGAAAATGTCAATTAGTTCAACGGCTAGATTGAAATCCTACGACACGTTGATGAAGCTATATGTATGTTCCGCAATATCGATACACTTTTATATTTGAAAAACAACAAAACACGCTTATAAATAAAGTAAGTTCCTTAATTACAAAACATAAACACTAAATAAGGCTATGGATAAGATACTGTGCATGCGTTCCCGTTTGCACCAAATCCAACGGAGAGTATTTTACAGATACAATTTATTGTTACAAATAAAATCAGTTGGACCTAACGCCGTGATTAAATGTTAACAATCTGCGATTTTTCTAGAAATCAAAACACAGAGCTCCTCACAAAATTAGGTTTCTTTCGGCTCATAGTAACATTGTGTGTTTTTATGAATTCATTAACCACTCGCTAAGACTACCACAGCACGCCACAAAAACATGATCAGTGAAACAAAGGTTGTTTTTTTTTTCAGTTCAGCATTTTCCTTTAAGTTGCATTAAGAATTTCCACGTCAACGTTGTAGAAAATAAATATGAGAAAGGCTTCCTCGTGCTTATACAAACTTCAGGAGCAAAATAACAACAAAAGCTAAAACGGCAGCACATGTTGTGTTTGCAAAAGTGTCAGTCACGACAGGGAAACAACAGCAAAGACATATTGCTTTATTTTTTTGCTTTTGTTTTATTCTTTAAAGCAATTTATTTTGACACTACACTCATAGCTACAAAAAAACCTCTGGGGTCAAATTATCGCGCAGCTGGTGCAAATAATCAATGAAAACAACGACCGCATTTGGTTAAAATCGTGATTATTGCCTCTGTTCCAAATGAAGGATTCGTATGATATCCATAACCAAGACAAACTTTTGGTCTCGATATCTACTTCTTTGCTTTTACTTTATCACAAATAGTAACATGTAAAGCAAACATCGATACTAAAACAAGGAGACCAATGAAATAAGCCTTTTTGACAACAAAAACTTTTCTCTTTGCAAAATAACTTACATTTGAATTATAAATGACCAAAGTAGCACTTTTTGTTGTAAAATAGATTTTGGTTTAATTTTTGAAGTAAGGTTTACCACTATACTATAAGAAAACTTGCTTTCATTAACTAAGTGGATAATGTAAATTTGCCACCGAAAATGTTGCGTGTGTTTGCACTGGATACTAAATAATGCTGTCCAATTTAATCGACCACTTCACACATGTCGCCTTACAGCTGTCCCATCAATTTTTGAAACTTCATTATCACTCAATGGAGTTCAAAGCGACCCTGTATTTTGGGCTAAAATCAACCGGTAGTTCTTGTACAATAGGGAATAGTACGCCTCAGAATAAGACTATGATTTGGCATGTTTACCTTCGAGGTAACTTTCCTTTCCGGTTAAATGCATTAACTTTTATGGTCAAAATTTGCTATCAGAAATATCGACATTAGTTAAGGTGACACTTAAGCCTCACTCATTGTCTATCTCCCCAGGAGAATATGTCATAAAACACCTTCTTCTTTCACGGGGTTTTTTTCAAGAACACGCTAAACAAAAACAAAGTAGACTTGGAGTAAGCACACGGACCGCGATCGGCGAACAAGGTCGTGAAGAATGCCTCAATTTGTCTTTATAACTACGAAGCGGAAAAAAGTTTAATATGTATGACTCTTGATCTTAACTTATATTTTTTTTAGTACAGATTAACAACACCGAGATCCAGTTAAACCTGGATTTGTTCATCAAAAATTCACCGAGTTAAGGGAAATTAATCTTAAAGTCAGGTTAAGCCAAACTGAAAGAGCATATTAGAGTGAAGCTTGTACTGAAATAAACTCTCTGGCAACTCCGAATCCACGGGTGTATCTCTTACTCACCTACAGTCTAAAATGAACGTATACCAATTTGGGAATGTAACTTCACGGCTTGATAATTGAATTAAACTCTTGTGAATCTTTCTGAAAATTTAGAAAATATATTTCTAACGGTTCAGACTCATTTTTTGTCTTCTACACGAAGGTTGTTAACTTCCTTCAATAACTATACAACCTAAATTGTGACTTGAAACGTCACATAAGTAGTTGTGATCGCCGAGGCAGATCTCCATGCTTGCAGGAATCTACAAACTTTGGTCAGATCATGAAACATCCACTGTTTTGAGAAAATCAAGATTCAGGGGAAACTTTTTCCAATTTCGTTTGCGCTATTGGAAGCTTGAATTGTATTTCAGTCGCAGCGGCCTCCACCAAATCTATTAATTTTTACTTAGAATCGCTGTTGATTTGGCCAACAATCACCTTTGGCTTTTGACGAGCCAAAAAAGAAATAAAACACGAACAGAAAAGGGAAAATAGGAAAACATGCAATCTGATTTTGCAACACGTGTCCCTAATTCTTTTCATGGAAAATAATAATAAAAAAATTTTTCGTCGTGAAGTGGAGAATATTGCCCTAAGGGTGTTAACGCTGTGAAAACGCTCGTTGATACTTGTTTCTTCTCCATGTTCTTATTGCTGCTGATGGTTATATTTGTACTACTGTGCTCTGATGCGCTTTACGACACTTTGCGGGAAACCTTGGTTAAATCGCATTGAGCAGTATACAATATTAAAAGAAATTTCAAGTGCCTACAATTTAAGAAATTTTGGAAGCAAGGCCAGACCCACACTGAACACCTGGAGTTACAGTCTCTACTATTTGCTAGAAGTGGATGGGTTATTTAACCAGTGCAGAGAAGATTTTAGTCTCTACTTTTTTTGAAGAAACAAATAAGGAATTCCTTTCCTTCTAGTACACCATCGAGGGATTTCTACGGATACAAATTATGCTGTAGCGTCTTAAGAGCTATTTGTAGAACTTTACCACTTTACCAGTCAAAAATTACTTATAGAAACAGCATTGTCTTATTTTTATTTCGAAGAGACAATATTGTATCAGGATTATGCTAATTTAAGTTTTTCTTTTTGTTATCCGATGTGTCACAAATCAATCAAGATGAACAAAATCGTGACTTATTGAGTTTATTGGACCTAGGTTCACTTGTGCTTTTTGCAAATATTTCGCTTCAGATTAGCAAGTTAATAAGTTTAACGTTTTCGTCAATTTGAATAAGAACCCAAATAAATTTATTTTCGCTGTTTCAATAATCTAAATAAATTTTATCTAAATAAGAGCTGTAGATTGTTTTTCATTGCGTCATTTTTGTCTCATAGAGAGGGTGAAAATGAAGAGAGCAATTGTCTAATTCAGCACTTAGTTGAAAAAGCTTAATTGTACTGGCTAAGTGTTTCCATTGGAGGGCTACAAACGAATCAGAAGGTGTGAAGAGAAGTCCTTAAGGGAGATTCTTTTCTTTAAGGTGTAAATTATTGGGGATTTAAATTTTCCTCTTCAATTCGGCTCGGATACATTACCCGAATCTGCACAACCGATGAATAAACGTTCAAATTGCGTTCAAAAGTCTTTATCTTGGTTTTCCATGAGGGAACTGATTGTAGGAGTAATTTTGTTGTTCAAGAGATCATTTTTGATTCAAGTTTGAGCGACAGTTTCCCCACTCAAGTGTTACTCTGCGATGATAGAGGTGGCTGCGAAAAAACAAGTTAAAAGAACACGCTCGAACTTAAGTTTTAAGGTATTTAAAGCAAGTGTCAATGAACGTGATTCAAAGGTGTCAGACAGGAAGACAAATTCCCTGAATGCAGGTGTTCGCAAATTAACCAAAGTAATTCATTTGCAAATATTTTGTATGGCAGAACGATTACTAAAGCAAGTGTTTTACTTTCTCGGGCGGTCCGGTCAATTGACGTCGGGTGTCCTAGGTTCGTTTCGTGAAATACCATTCTTTGCGCACAGAAATACCAATTCCCAAGATAACAGGCAGACAATGTAAGTTTTGCAAAATTTAAGGGTTGAATATCGCGGGAACATTTCAAAACCTCTCATTGTGCTTTGCAAGCCTTAGCTCTATCAAGGTTACGACTTACGGACAATGCAGAATTCCGAGTGCACCAAGCGTCTAAAGTGCACATAAAAATTTATATGCATGACTTGGCCACAAACCACCGAGTAATCAGCTTACGATAAATAATGTAATTTAGACTTCCAAGCCAAGAGAAACCAAACAAAAAAGTACCTTTCCTTGAAAACTGATTCTGTACTCTGTGGGTCACTTCAGGATTAAGCTTTGTTATGGTGTGCTGATTTTGAGCGTTAAAATGTTTTCGACTTTCCTAAACTATTGGTTTTATGAGGTCCGTTTTGCTTTTTTTTAAAAAAGAATTTTCATATATTAATCTTAATGGAAACTACATGTAGATATTTTTTCAGTTAGTTGATTCTAGGTAGTTCACATGTAAACTATTGCCATTTCTTCAATTTTAGGTTTAACCTGATCATTTCTACATTTCTGGCTGTCGTCGGTTGCTTGATAACTTGCACACGGCAACAAAACTGCCCGTATGTGAAGCATGTCTTCGCCGTGGACAAAAATTTGGTGGCCGATCACTCCCTTCACAATCACGTTATCGCTACATTAACAGTGTCAGGAGCAGTAGAATGTTATAATAACTGCCGAATGAATTGCCAGTGCAACTCCCTTAATTTCTGGTCAACTAAAAACGAGAAGAATTGTGAGTTGAATAAGGAAAACAAGTTTTTGAAACCATATGACTTACATCCGGATCTTGGTGCTCAGTATTACGATCTGCACGTTATTTACAGCGTTAAGGTAAGATGTAAATTTGATCGCGGAATACGGTAAAGGTTTGAAGGGAGACCTAAAACCTTTTAAGCGGGAGGGGTAGGTCTTCAGTACCTCTAAACTCATTCAACTTATTTTGATACCTTCAAAAAAAAAAAGTCGCAATTTTTCGAATCCAGGAAACCAAGTGAAGCATATGTTTATATAAAACTTCCAGAAGTAGATTTAAATGTATATTGTTTAAGTTACAAATGTACGCATTTACAAATGCATCGCCAAGATCACGCCCTATTTCAGGCTGAGCTGTCTGCAAGGACACTTTTACTAGGACGATAAATAGTAGAATTGCATAACTGAAGAGTAAAGCGCTCGAATACATATACTTTGATTAGGGGCACACACCCTGGTCTTGGCCAAACATTCAGGGAAATTCCAAGGGACTCATAAACACCTTTGTTCTCCTAACCTCATGTGATCGAATTTGCTTCACCAAGCCTTTATAATTAAAGGTTTCTAGAGGTTACCTCAGCTTAGTTCCAGTCCCTCTCAGATGATTGTATATTAAAAAAAAAAAAAGAAAAAAGTAAAAACGGTCGGGGTATGTTGTGAGGGAAATGACTTTACATTATAAACTGTGGTGTTTTGCAAGGATTTCCAGCCCAAACTAAGAAAAGCTGTAACTGCACACGTGTAAAATTATGATAATTCTTGACTGATGCGTGTTTTTGATATCGCTAATCAGCTGCTGACACGTCACTCGTCTTTCGTGCTACTCTGTCATTAATTAAAAAGTCGAAGTTGTTTTCTGGTCGGTAAAGACCCATGGTTTCTATATAATAAAAAAATATATGGTTGCTCTTAGATATGAAATTCCTCTTCTCTGTTCAATGCGACGTCTCACAAGTGAGCGCAGCAAACGAGTTAGATATCGAGTTGGAGGCTCGAAGAGAAATTCCATATCCACGTGCACCCATGCTTCATTCTCTTTTTATTTGCTTGGGTATCTTTTGCAGGGTGTCCCTTGTTCAGAATGCCAAAATGGTTGTTGTAAATCTGCGCCATGTTTCGCTAAATACACTGATCGTTGTGAAGAGCTTTGTGATGTCAAGGGAAAGAGATTCCGCTGTGTTTGCAGAAGTGGTTACACAGGAGACTTGTGCCAAACTCCTGGTAAACGGATATTTCCGAGTAAACGTGGATTCCGTTTCTCGAAGGACCCGGTGACTTAACGGGTCCGTAAAGTTGCTTGTAACGGGGCCGTAAAAATTTTTATTCCAGATAGGGGTTTCAATGTTTTCAAAACGATACAAAAAACTATCAGCTACAGAATCAAAATGCACTGTATAGTGTGCGAGAATCGAAAATTCTTCTATATTGTTTAAATTTTGATTTTCAAATATGGTTTCAAGTCCGTTAAGTTACCGGGTCTTCCGAGAAACGGGCCCCAAGCTTCGAGTTTTACGGGAATATTTTTAAAGAATACCGCGTGTACAGGGTTACGGTTATTCGTGACTCTTTTTGGAAACTGTCCCAGCCTTAGCATTGCACAGACTAAATGACACCTCCACCATAATGTAAGGAGGGTAGATACACCTCTTACGGCTTTTGCTGTGTTTCAATCATTTTCATCCAAGTAAAGTCAAATAGATGGAATACAATGAAAGTTTTACATTGATATAGAAATTTAACGGTTGTGCAATGCACTTCTTTGCGGCTGGATCGAGCTGGTGACATCACCTTTTTCAAACAATATGCCGTACACCTTTCAAAACATAACATTTGGGAAGCCTGACCCTACGTACTCCTTCTAAGGGACTCATGAAAGACCTTTGGGCTAAATCGTCGAACATAGTTTTTTTAAGTCACGGTAGTATCAAAAAGAAGTTGACCTTCACATAAGGATTCCCAATTGCGTAACGTGTAAAAGCCCTATAATCGCGTGAAACTCCTCTGACTGACTCTTACCGTGTAAGCAATCCCAGTTTTAACCCTACACCTAACCCTAAACCATCCTGAAAATCAGTATGTCACTTCTCTCAACCCCCTCCCTTCTCTGAAGCTCAGGAATCCCTAAACCAGTGGCCTCCAAATCTTTCAACGAGCATAACTGAATGTAAACAACAAAGACCGCTGTGAATTTGCGATAGTTAACTGAAGTCATTATGAGGTCATGAAAAGAAATTTTGGGAATGGAATCGACACTTTTTGCGTCCACGAGTTCCACCAGTGCCCAATCTCTGACTATACTTCGGAGTAATCATAACCTTATTAATTCCCAAACTCTAAATTTGACTATTCTCGTGTCAATAGTACCTCAACCACAGCCTCAGCCTCGGCCTCAGCCTCGGTTTTGTCCTCAGCCCGCGGTACAACAAGTGCACGAAGCCGTCGGACCGGGCGTGTATAAAATTCCAAAAAAATAATATTCAGCTCCAACTTCAGTTCCAGCACTACCTTCAATCTCACCGCAACCAAATAAATCCCCTTTTGCAAGAAGTTCGAGGGAGAAGGGGGGTACAGTGATATAGATTTGTTCACGACTACGTGCTGGATGGGGATCCAGTACCAGTAAACTCCACGGCGCACCTTCGCTGTAGATTAATGTTTTCGATTTACAAGGATGCTCCGTTTTTTATCTTGCTGTGCCTGAGTTGATCTTGCGCTTGGTCACCCGTGATCATTTATAAATAATTTAGAGTGTTCTAGACTGTTACACATAGGGGAGCTCATATCAATCTGTTGTTGTATATTAGTAATCTGTCAATAAAGTTGTGTGTTGTTGATTACAAGTATCTACTACATCCGCCATACTTAGGAATCCATTTCTTAAAGCTTTAAGCTCTTTCCAGTGGCAATTATGGTAGATGATTTCTTGTTTGAAAGATAAGTTAGGTAATCGAATGGGGCCGAATAAATTAAGAGTATTACAAGTGTTTTTTGACAATTGCAGAGATTGCCCTCGTCGCTGCGCGACTATTTTGCGATTGACTATCTTCTAGATTAAAGATACCAATAATAATAATAATGATAATAATAATAATAATAATAATAATTATAATAATTATAATAACAAAAACAGACTTACAAGAAGGTATAAATTTTAATTGCATTTCTAACGCATTCGCTAAACTACATTTATCATGAATAATTAAATCCCTAAGAAGTGAAGGCAAAATAGAGTCTAGGAATAACAATTTCAAATCGCAACTGACAAACCCTCAGACTTATTCGGTACCCCATTTGTTTTTAGATATATCATCTAACATCTGCCCTTTTTCAATTTTTTTTTCTCGGTTTAACCTTCTCAAACCTCGCATTGCGAACGTACTATTTATCCAGTTTCGTCCTAAATTAGGATGTCCTCATGAACACTCGCCTGCAGTAATGTGTCAGCGGTTTTATTCTTTGAAACGCCTGGGAGATTTTAGTGTATGGTGGTATCGTTTTGCGGAAGGTGATCATAGATTTTTCTGTTTCTGGGAATGCTGTGGCCTAATGCGAAATGCCAGATCCCTTAAATTGAAGCTAGCAAGAAGGAAGGAATTGACGTGATGCCTTAAGCAGTCAGGTCTTCGTAAAACTCCATTATGCGTGGAGATGGGAGAGTCACATCTCAGCTGTTTGGTACATTGTCATCTGTTCATGGGCTTATTCATTGTTAAAAGCTATCGATAAAATCATCTACCTCGAGCGGAGTTTGAAGATGGTGGACAAAAGCGAGGAAGAAGTGGTTTATCAGCAACTCCGAGACCTTTGGAGCTCGTATGTGCGATGTAGTTCATCACAGGTAATGCAAACCATTAGTGTAACTTTTTTGTTCTTCACTGGGAAAACAATTTCCGCTCTTGAAAACTGGCGGATCAACAGTTAATAATTTTCACTTTCCCTATTGAAAGAAAGGTTTGTTTCAGAAACTGAAAAATGTTAATGTCCGCAGTAAAGAAGTATACGAGAAAATTCACTGCTTGTCTCGGTTTGAGATCGCAAACACTTAATTACCTGGCTCAAAATTGTCAAATGTGCTGAAATGTGATTATCGACGCCGCCATTTTGATAGAAAACTCAGTAACCTGGCCTCACATACGTGAATTTCAGAAATTTGTAAAAATGTTTCTCTTTTGAGTTATTTTTATCTTTTTCTGAAGCATCTCAGCAGGCCAGAATCTTAAACCCTGGAATCCTTGGATTATTTTCTCAATCATAGAACATAGATAAAGTTCCTGAGAAAAGTGTTTTAAAACTATGGAATCTCATGAATTGTACAAACCAGATTTATGTTGTTGTCTTGAATAACTGAAGTGTAATTTTTTATGTGGTGTCAAGATTAAGTGAAATGTATTTTATTCATTGTTGATAGTTGCTGGAGAAGAGCAAATTTCTGGAGCTATTCATGGTGCGATTTTTGGCTGCCTACTGTGCTGAAAAAGGGGACTTGAAGAAAATTTCCAGCTTTATGTAAGTTGTACAACTATCAAAAGTCTTTTTAATACTGACTCTGAAGGTATTTGAACCATACCATTATGGCAGTTGGCAACATTAAACTCGAAAGGTAACAAATATTCTTTGCTTATTGTTACTTAAGAGATATTAAGCATATGACTAGTGCACCCTTGCATATAGAGGGAACTTAAAGAACCTCACAGTGCTGACTGTCTGTAAATCATGACCTTGTGCCAAATATTTTCCTGTCTGGCCCTCCCACTCAGTCAATGTGTTTGTAAATTTATCAGTAATGTGATATTCCTAGGTTTCAAACCTTGACAACTGGCTAATTTTATAGTACATAATTCGATCAGTATAACTTGTCTGTATACTTGAGGGAATTTCATGATTAAAAAATGTTGAATAATATTTATTTGGGTTCGTTTTTTAGTGATGTCCATAGCATTAGCAATGTTCTGACAAGTGAATTCCAGTCTGCAATTCTTCTAAGATGTGAGGATGAGAATGAAAAGCCACTGGTCGACTTCCTTTGTCATGGACAGGGTCTGCTTCTGTTACAGATGTTGTGTATTCTGGCAAGTAAGGTAAGGTACAAAGTTATTAGAATCCAGTTGTTCTAAGAGCTGATTGCACTATCCAATGGATAAATCACTATCCAGTGGATAAGTGTTAACAAAATGCTCTGCGCTAACCACCCTTCAAATAGTCATGGCCAGGTCATCTGATTTACTGTATATTCTCTATACTTTTCTCTTTACATTTTCTTTGGTACTGACAAGGAGAATTTGTTTAACCGTCACAGCTTCATAGATTGGTGATCATTTAGTATATTCTCATGATGTTAAAGAATGATTCAACAGTATTTCTGTAAGGAGAAATCTGATGCTGGTTATTCTTAGTATTTTAAGGGTTAATGATAAGATTTTGATCTCAAATCATTGTTGTTCACATATTGAATGATAAATCAATAATCCCAGCAAAATTCAAAATAGGAAACTAAATGCATACGCAACTTCTTAACCCTTTAACCCTTTAATCCTTTAACTCCCAAATAAAATTTTGTAATTCTCCTTACTGTCAACCATACAGTTCTTCCAATGTTAGTTCAAAGAATTTAGTATGGGATCAACTAATTATCCCCCAATTGATATTTTTCTTTATTCCCAACACTTATCTAGTTGACATTGTGTTGATATTGTAAGGAGAAATTCTCTCTTGGTCACTCATGGGAGTTAAAGGGTTAACTCCCAGAGTTGATCTACTTGTAACTTCTCCTTGTGGTTAAGAGAAGAAACAAACTTATCAGCTAGAGGATGTTATGTTAATACAAACAGCAAATCTCCTTTTTAAATTTACAAGGATCTTTATGACAGTCAGTAGAGAGAAATACTAATTGGGTCATGTGACTTAAAGGGTGAATTTTATGGATTATCAATTGATTGATTGACAAAACATTGATCAATTAGTATTTTTTGTCTTTTGATATGTTTTTGTTCAATTTAACAGGTTGCTGGATGCAGTTTAGAATTGGCTAATCTCCTTGTTTCTCTGCTGCCTGTGGTTCTTAGAGTACCTTTACAACATTATGACCATCTTAACGGTAATGTAGGAGATTTTAGGTTGTAGGGTTATTTTACATGTTTGGTAATAATAATGAATTAATATTCTATTCTAAACAAGTCAGGAAGGGGTACCTGGGTACCTGTGCGTCTATGCACATTACAAATAAACTGTGTTGTCTTTATGTGCCAAAACACTTTTCATTCATACTACACCCAGGAGTATGAATGGGTATGGGCTAATTGTTGGAGATGTCTGACAAAATGTGATGCAACCTTTTTGATGGATTGGTATACCAGTGGGAAGGGGAAGGGGGGGG